GAGCAAACCCAAGATTCATTTGGCTTCCTAATTGGCTTCTGTTACTTTAAATGTAAAGCGAGTCTATTCACGCCAAAACCCACTTACAAGTGAAAGAAAATACAATATGTTGCTTGATCCTATAGGAAAAGAACATTTTCAATCAGCAGTAAATCATTTGGAAGTATATTTTATTTAAAATCAGAACCTGCCCAACAGCACCCTACTGCCAAGCTTCCCTAATAGCTTTCTTCCCTAATAGATTCGTAGTTTTAACACCACTTTGGTTGGAGAAAGGGGGCTTTCTAGTGTATTACCCAAATAAGCAGCTTTGCTCGGAATTCTTTAAGGAGAGAAGCTAGGTGAATGTAATGAGATGGTCAAATATCTGCTTTAAAAGTATAAAGGTTATGATGATAACATCTTAAATAGAGCTACCGTCACAAAGTTTCAGATTGGAATGGAGAGATAGTAAAACTGATAGTAAAACTGAGACACTTACACACAGCTGACCCCAGTTTGTTTCTTTCTCTTTATTTTGCTTTTTGAGTCAAACCCAGCCGATGAACAAGGGTTACTCCTGGCTTTGCACTCAGGAATTCCTCCTGGTAGTGCTTGGGGGTGGGGGAACCATATGGGATGCAGGGAATTGAACCAGGATCGGCCGCGTGCAAGACAAATGCCCTACCCGCTGTACTATAGCTCCAGTCCCAAAACTGACCCCAGTTTGATCCCTGCCTAGCACAATATATGGGAGTACCTCCAGGAGTGATCCCTGAGCATAGATACAGAAGTAAATCCTGAGAACTGCCAGGTGTAGCCCCCAAACCAAACTAAAACAAAACAAAAAGTAAGAATCATGAAAACTTTAAATTGTTAGGTTGAAGTGTGCATTCAAGTTGCAATGTTAATGACATTTTGTAGCTCTGCACTCAGTGTCCACATAATGCTTCTGATGTCCCAAGAAGGCACAGGTCTTTGCTTCCCACCACCCTATTCTCAGAGTATAGCAGTCTAGCATAGTAGCTACTCAGTAAAAATCATTTAATACAAAGGCAACAGAAACTGAGAACTGGTCTTTAGTAGGAAGCTACTACAGTGAATGGAAGGGGGAATAGTATGGAAGGGACACTGTGGCAATAGTGGAAGACTCTAGTCACTTTGGTGGAGGCTATGGTGCTGGTGTGTGTTAGGTACAAAACACTACCAGTAGCAATATACAATGCAAACCACAGTGCCTAATGGAAACAATTAAATACATAAATAAATAACTAGGTGTTGTCTTTCCTGGGTCCGAAAAAAAAAGTTGTTGAACAGATAATGCTGACAAATCAGCCAGTGAAGCTTTGGCTAGGCTGTGTAAATCAGGCAAGCATCTATTTGGCTGCAATATTTTTATACAATGAGCAAAAGCTTTGCATGGGTTGCATAAACACGTGGCTGCTGACACTTAGAAATTGTTCCGAGTCTGAGCCCCGTCATTATTTCTGATTTGTTGAACACAGGTTTGGACAATGAAAGAACACATCACATATCAGAGGCTTTCTGGATTCATTCTCATGTCCAGTTTTATCTTTCTTTCAGGTAAGAAAATGTATTTATTCTTTTTTTTTTTTTTGGCTTTTTGGGTAACACCCGACGACTCACAGGGCTTACTTCTGCCTCTGCACTCAGGAATTACTCCTGATGGTGCTCAGGGGACCATATGGGATGCTGGGAATTGAACCCTGGTTGGCTGCATGCAAGGCAAACACACTACCTGCTGTGCTACCGCTCCAGCCCCAGGAAAACGTATTTCTTATGCATTCTTTCAATGTCATCTGTGTCATCAGTTAGAGAAACAACCGACAATTAGAAAAATTTCTGGGCTGTCTCTCAGTGGCTTTCTTTGGGTCAGTGTAGCTCTAAGACAAGCTGGAGCATCAGCAAATTAATTCATTGACTCAGGACTGCAGCACTGTCCTCCCGTTGTTTATTGATTTGCTCCAGCAGGTCCAGTAACGTCTCCGTTGTGAGACTTGTTGTTACTGTGTTTGGCATATCAAATAAGTCACGGGTAGCTTGCCAGGCTTTGCTGTGTGGGCAAGATACTCTCGGTAGCTTGCAGGGCTCTCCGAGAGGGGTGGAGGAATCGAACACAGGTTGGCCTGGTCGGCCACTTGCAACGCAAACGCCCTACCCCCTGTGCTATTGCTCCATGACTCAGGACTATGCATGACTAATGGCAAACTGGTCTCAAGCAGACAGTGGCTTGGGCTACTGCCTTTGACATTTCTTAACGTGACTTTGAAGTGCCTTTTGGTGTCTAATGCACACCTCACAGGAGCTTTGGGTTTTCTTTGGGACTGTTTTCTCTTATGTGTAATGCTTTGCTGAAAGCCCCCTGGAACATTCTGATATCATCTTTCCCTCTCCATTATATGTATCTGACAACAATCATGGACTGTAGATGGGGAACTGAGGTGGCCTGAATGTTGGTGGCAGATTCGCCGTGATAACATCTGTTTCAGGGAGGCGCACACGTGCAATATTATTTAGGTTTCAGGTGTACCACACGATCATTCAGCATTTGTACACTTGTAAAGTGACCAACACAATCAATCTATTTCTCCTCTTTTTTTGTTGCAAGTTTCAAATGAAGAACACCCTATTATTGACCATGTTCCCCATCCTGTATCTTATGTTTCCTTAACTTAGTTACTACAAAAAGATTGTGCCACTTGTTCTCCTTCTTCTCTGTGTCTAACCCATCTGCTAGATTATTTGTTTCTATTTTGCATTATAGATGATTAAGACAGTTAAACAGAAGTAACTGGTGATTTGGAGGTTTAAAGACAGGGTTGTCTTAGAGTACTGCGATCTTGTCAATGTTAAATAGATTCTGTTGATAACATTCCTTATTTAGGACATCAGTCATGAGCTAAAAGGTCATACATGCCAGTGAGTGACAAGTCCTAATGAAATAGACCTGAGTTTTAATTTGAACAGCTCTCAGATTTGAGACTTAATCTTCTAGAAAAATACCAAATCATAGTCCCCCTCAGCCAGAAACACTGACTGGTGTCCTGTTGTGTGCAGAGCCTGATGGGAAATCATGTTTCTCATAATAAAGGTTGAAATGGGACCGATGGGGCACAGTGGCAACTCTGTCACCTGGCTTTGACTACCTGCTAAGATGTTGATTTATCTTTTCCCAGCCTGTTTCGTCAGATACCAGGAACTGTTTTCTTTATTTCTTTGGCCCAGACATCCAAAATTGGTCTTGACACATAGGTTAGGCACTCAGTACATAATCACTGATTTAAAAAGTGAATGTAGGGGCCGGAGTGATAGTACAGTGGGTAGGGCATTTGCCTTGCATGCAGCCTACCTGGGATTCAATCCCCGGCATCCCATATGGTCCGTCAAGCACTGCTAAGAATAATTACTGAGTGCAGAGCCAAGTAACCCCTGATCATTACTGGGTATAACTTCCAAAAAAAGAAAAAAGAAAAAAAATGAGTGAACTTTGAAATTCTAAAACTCAGGGATGCCTGTATTGTGGTGGGGTAGGTGATCCAAACCCTTGCGGGTTTTTCGTTTGTTTTGGGGTCATACTTGTCAGTTCTCAGGGCTGATTCCTGGCTCTGCACTCAGGGATCACTCCTAGAAGGGTTGCGGAACCATATAAGATGCTGGATATAAAACCTAGGTTGGCCGCATGCAAGACAAACACCCTACTCACTGTACTATTGCTCTGGCCCCTCTAGTGACTTTTTGGGTGAAGGATCCAGGACAAGGAATATAGGGTTCTCAATGAGGCAACTAGGGCTCTTAAGAGTGGTGATAGAAGAAAAGGTGGCAGACTAGGCTGCACTGGGAAGTTGTTAGGGTGAATTTTCTGAGGATTGTCGACTGGTGAATGAAAAGGATGACAGATGTAAAGATTCATTATGTGTGGTGCTGTGGACTGAACTCAGGACCTCATACAGGTAAGGTAGGTGCTTTTTCACTGAGCTTCCTGCCTTGTCCTGATGTGCAGATTCTTTTCGTTTATTTATTTATTCTTTAGTTTGGGGCCACAGATGAAAGTGCTCAGAAGCTCCTCCCAACTTTGTGCTCAGAGGTTTGCTCCTGGCCATGCCAAGGATCATGAAGTGCTGGGAAATCAAACCACAGTTAACTACATGCAGAGCAAAAGACTTAATTCCTATACTATCTCTTTAGCCCCTTATGTACAGATTTTAAACTTGAACAAATCTCTTTAAAATCTCTTTTACACTTTTGGAATAAAATGTGCTGTTTTTATTTCACATACAAAAACATAGTTTTAAGTATTAATCTCTCTGAAATAAAACCAAAATGATCTCATACCAATTGGTAATGAAAACCACGAAAGCGTATCTGAACAGGATGTTCTTGCTCATCCAGCAACAGGTAGAAGTTTTTAATGTTAGGTATTTCCAAGAAAAGAAGCATTTTGTTCCTTGAAAGTACTGTACAGAGAGAATTTCTAATATTAATTAAAAGCTCAGTGCACAGTGTAAAATGAAATTTTTATAGAAATAATCTTACGTTTTAATATACTCCATCCTTAGAAATGAATTGCATGCAAACAGTAGATACTAATTAGTGCTGCATCTTTATTTTTATTAGTGAATTACCGTGAGGTGCAGTTGCAAACTTACAAGCTTTCATGTTTGCATTTCAGTCAGACAATGATCGTTTACCCATCCCTCCATCAGTGCCCATTCTCCTCCATCAATGTTCCCAGTATCCCTCCCACCACCCTCACCCCATCCCCCACCACCCCACCCTGCCTCTGTGGCAGGGCATTCCCTTTTGTTCTCTGTCCTTTTGGGTGTTGTGGTTTGCAATAGAGGTATTGAGTGGCCATCATGTTCGGTCTACAGTCTACTTTTGGCACGCATCTTTCAACTCGAACAGGTCCTCTCAACATCCTTTACTTGGTGTTCCCTTCTCTGTCTGAGCTGCCTTTTCCCTCCAGCACGTGAGGCTGATTTCCAAAGTGCTCTAAATTTAAAAATAGGGAATACTTCAGAAATCTGCATGCCATCCTTGTGCAGGGCTGTGCTATTCTTCTCCATATAGTTCTTATATTAGTGTATGTGTTGCTGAAATGAGCGCAGTCACAAAGTAGTTGTCCTAATTGTTTTTATTGTGTGCTTTTGGGGTCTGTTAAGCAGTGCTAAAGGGTCTAGGGGTTATTACCGGCTCAGGATCAGCAGTGATAAGGGGCCATGGAACCACCTTGCTTGTACTCAGTGGGAGACCTTGTGGTACTAGGAATAGAACTCAGGGTTTCCTTATGGCACATAAGTTCTTCTACCCTTTGAGATATTTCCCTGATCTAAGGAAGTCACACAATTAAAAAAATATATTTATTTTCATTTATTTAGATTTTGGGGTCACACCTGGTGATGCTTCATGGTAATTCTTGGCTCTGTACTCAGAAATTAACCCTGTCGGTGCTGAGGGGACTATATGGGGTGTTGGGGATTGAACCCAGGTTGGTTGCATGTGAGACAAATCTACCTACCCACTGTACTATTGCTCTGGCTCCTAGGGAGTCACAAAATTTTGAGGCCAGGGTTGTGGCTAAACATTGGAGTGCTTGCCTTGCATATGTGAGACCCTGAGATTGAGCTCAAATGCTGCAAGAGAAAAAAGTCACAAAAAGTCACCATCCTGGGAGGATCCTCCCAACACCCTTTATTTGGTGCTCCCTTCGCTATCTGAACTCCCTTTTCCCCTAGCATGTATAGCTGGCCTCCAAGCCATGGAGCAAAATTCCTGGTACTAATCTCGGCCATTCTTGGGTGTTAGTCTCCTATTTTGTTACTTTATGTTCCCCAGATGAATGCAATATTTCTATGTCTATCCCTCTCTTTCTGACTCATTTCGCTTAACATGATACTTTCCATGTAGTACCACTTGTATGTAAATTTTATGACTTCATCTTTTCTAACAGCTACATAGTACTCCATTGTGTAAATGTACCAAAGTTTCTTTAACCAGTCATCTGTTCTAGGGCACTCAGGTTTTTTCCAGATTCTGGCTAGGGGAAAAGAGTTCAGATAGAGAAGGGAGCACCAAATAAAGGGTGTTGGGAGGATCCTCCCAGGATGGGAGAAGCATGCTGAAAGTAGACTATAGACCACACATGATTGCCACTCAATGCCTCTTTTGCAAACCACAACACCCAAAAGGAGAGAGAGAATAAAAGGGAATGCCCTGCCACAGAGTCAGGGTGGGATAGGGAGATGGGGGGTGGGAGGGATACTGGGATCCGTGGTGGTGGGATATGGGCACTGGTGGAGGGATGGGTATTTGATCATTGTATAATTGAAACCCAAGCACAAAAATTTGTAAGTCTACAACTGTACCTCATGGTGTCTCCCTAATAAAAAAAAGTCACCAAGATTTGGATTGATAGTACAATGGGTAAGGCATTTGCTTTGCATGCGGTTGACCTGTGTTAAATCCCTGGCAGCCCAATATGGTCCCTCCCACTGATCCTGAGCAAGAGCCAGAAGTAGACCTTGAGGACCACCCCTTGTGGCTGAAAAATCCCAAAAGAAAAAGTTACCCAGTTCTTTAGAAGGTTTTAAATCCCTGATTTAATGATTCTGTTCAAACAATAAGGCACAACTGTCTTTCATTTAGTGAGAAACTCATTATCTTTTTCCTGGCAAAGTGATGACGGCTGTGAAACAATAACTGAGATACAAGTTCTTTAGGTTCCAAACGAATTGCCAGCCTCCAACTGTGAAGGTCATGGTGGGGGAGATCTGCAGCCAGATTCTGGCAGAGGGTGACTCAGAGGTTCTAATCGAAAAGAAATGAAAAGAGTGGGAGGGAGCTACTTATTATGTACAGAGACAGAATAATCCCCAAAGTGAGCAGGTATGAGCCAAACGTGCCATGGGGTCTGAGGGCTGAGAGCAGGAGCCGTAAGAGTGGGTGAAGACCGAGGCTGGGAGGTGAAAATTTGCTAAATGAACCAAGGGTAAGAAGTAAACAGTGATGAGAGGGGAGGACCTAGTACCCTTGAATAGCAGGACTTAGCTCCCTCCTCAGTGATTTGTCTCAAAAATTAGTGCTACATTTTTAGCTTCCATTTATCTCCTTTGGTGGCGAAGGCACACACAACAGGTGTTCAGGGCTTTGATCTTCTTTTGTTTCTATTTTTTGGACCACACTCAGCAATGCTGAGGGGTTTTGCGCCCAGGAATCACTTCTGATGATGCTCAGCATCCATATGGAATGTTGGGGATCAAACTTAGGTCAGCGCATGCAAGGCAAGTGCCCTACCCTCTGTACTGTTGTGCCAGCCTCTTAGGGCTTATTTCTGACTTTGTGCTCAGAGATCACTCTTGGTGGTGCCTGGGGTGGACCGTATGTGGTTCCAGGGATCCAAGTGGCACCGGCCATATGTAAAGGAAGTGCTTTAACCCATGTACTGTCTCTCCAGCCCTGACTCTTTTCTTTTTATTTCTATAGATATATTTCCTTGAGCTGATACACTCTGATGCCATTGTAGCAGGCATAGTACAGATCAGAAAAACTCAACTTACCTATATGTTGTTTCAGTGACTGGGCCTGTCATTTTAGCAGGCAACAGACTGCAAACGCCCTACCTGCTGTGCTATTGCTCCAGCCCCTCTATTCTATCTTTGACACATACTACTATTTTACCCCGCTGCATAGATAAATTTTCCAGAGTCTCTTTGGCTTTATGAGTAAGAACATCTATTGTGTTGGGTGAGATATGGATCTTGAACCCAAGAGTTGAAGGAATGACCACATTGCCTCTACAGGGGTAATTCCTGTGCTGCTTATTCCAAGAAGAATGGTTAGCAGGTCCCATGTCTGGTCAGCAGTCAGCCGATGGGAAGTGTTGGATAACTGAATAATGACAGAAATGAAGTTAAAAGTTGAATGCTTTTCTAGAGGCGAATCTGTTCTATCCAAAGCTAAGCTGGTGACCCACGAGATCATTAGGAAGTACAGGTTGTTGGTGACAGATAGTGACTTATATTATCTGCTTTGTTTGCATTATGGCCATGTTGACTTGGGGCACAGAGCTCTCCAGTTTCAAACAATTTTAAAAAATGAAATACCCTTCAAATACATGCTGCTACACCAAGACCATCACCCAGGTAGCAATAACCCTCTACCATAGTAAAGAGGGAGATCTGGCGAGAAACGGAGAGAACGCCTTGTGATGAATTAAGGTGGGGATTGGGGTAACTGAATAGAAGCCATGGAACACCTGTGGAAAGATAATTAACTTACAGAAATAGAAATTATCAGAAGATAGGAGAGAGATCCAAAGCACATTTTCCCTCAGAAGGGAATCAATACTACTGATACTTTGTTTTCAGAGTTTCAGCCTTGGAAACGATGAGAGAAAAGCTCATGTGACCTGTGTTTGACTGCATAACAGTCACAGATTTGGGGCCAAGTTTTTGATAAAAAAATTGGGGGGGCCAACCATTATGTGAGGCTTAAAATCTTGTGTTAAAAACAGGATATGATGAGTTTGTGGTGGCGATGTTATTCAGTTAAATCTGGCAAACTCCCCAGTTTGTGCTACTCGGTTCTAGAAGCTGTAGCAAATGAATATACTCTGCCATGAATGCTCAAATAGGCTCTCTGGATCAGAAATCTGGGGTGAAAGAGAGGAAAGTCGGTCACCTAATTGGGAAGAAACAGTGTTTCTCCCATTGATCACATCCAATGTGATGCCTTTGCTTCCCCTCAGACAGCCAGAGAAATGCAGGGAGAAACACAATCCTTATACTCCATCTCTTAACACTTAAACACTAAAAGAGAAGCTTTGCCAAGAGGACAGAAATACAAGGCCAGAAAATACCAGGTGATTGCTTAGTGCTGTCTTCAAAAAATAAAGGGACAGGGGCTTTAGTGATCTTATAGAACGGAGGGCGCTTGCCTTGCATGCAGCCAACCTGGATTCCATCCTCATCATCCTGTATGGTCCCCAAGCACTGCCAGGAGTGATCCCTGAGCACAGAGCCAGGAGTCACCTCTGAACACTGCTCGAGGTGGCCCTGAAATGGAAAAAAATGAAACAAAGGTACCTTACTGAAATTTTAAAAAACATTGCTCAGTGACTTGGGGCTGGAGCAATAGCACAGCGGGTAGGGCATTTGCCTTGCATGCGGCCGACCCGAGTTCAATTCCTCCGCCCCTCTCGGAGAGCTCGGCAAGCTACTGAGAGTATCTCACCCACAGGCAAAGCCTGGCAAGCTACCCGTGATGTATTTGATATGCCAAACACAGTAACAACAAAGTCTCACAGTGGAGACACTACTAGGCCCGCTCCAGCAAATCCATGAACAACAGGAGGACAGTGCTACAGTGCAACAGTGCTCAGTGATGTAGAACACCTACCTTGCAGACATAAAGTCAGGAGTTGAATTCCTGGTACTCCTACAAGAATAATCTTGGTAGCTCTGCTGTCTGTGCTGCAAACCATTTTCTGGCACACAGCCAGGTATATATGAACACCTAAACAAATGGACACAATTCCCTGCAACCACCGTAAAGATGTGTGAGCATCAGGGCCAGAACATATGTGATCACTGAGAGATCCCAGTGAGTCCTACAACCGGAACGTGTGTGAGCAGCACAACTAGAGTCTGACCCCTAGAGAGTACATGTGCAAGCGCAACTGAAAAGGAGTACAAAGTTGGGAGAATACAATTGTGTGGGCATAGTCCCCAATGAGCACCACAATTTATTGTGTGAACACGGGGCAGGAGCAATAGTACAGTGAATAGGGAATTTGCTTCTCGTGTGACTGACCTGAGCTCCATCCCCTGGCACATTATTTGGTCCCTGAAGTTCCTCCAAGAGTGATCCTTGAATGCAGAGCCAGGAATAAGCCTGAAGTACCACCGGGTTTGACCCCATAACAAAATAAAGAAACAAAGGAAACAAAACTAAAAATAAATGTGTAAGTACTGCAGCCACGTCTGTGTGTATGTATGCGTATATGTGTGTGGTCAGCACAACACCATCATCAACAATAGGGGTTGGAGAGAAAATACAGTGGGTAGGGTGCTTGCCTTGCACATGGCCAGCCTGGGTTTAATCCTAAG